TTCCGAAGCGGCGGCCGCGCCGCAGCAGCACTCGTCGCCGCGGCGTGTACGTCGTCGCGTGGAGCGCGCCGTCGCGGAACTCGCGGAGCACCGGCGCCCAGAGGCCCCAGCCGTGCCACCACCGGCGCCAGAAGGGCCCGACGCGGACGAAGCCGATGAGCACGTAGCGGTGCTCGCGCGGCGCGACGGCGTTGGCCGCGTGGAGCGCCTGCGACGGGTGGGTCCAGAGCTCGCCGACGGCGACGTCCGCGAGCGCGTGGCCGTAGCCCGGGAACGTCGTGAAGGGCCTGGGCAGCAAAAGAGAGATTCAACGTCGCTTCAACGCGAGTGTTCCGCGCGCGCGCGTTCCGGAAAAAGCATCCACGCTTCGAGACCGTTCCGAAAGATGATCGCTCGTCCCAAAATCAGCCGAAACGAGTGGAAAACGGCCGAGAAAGGAGCCTTTGAAGTTGGGAATTTCGCTCTCTTTTGCTGCCCTGTGAACGGCTTGGCCTCGCTGCTCGCGAGCGCGACGCCGAAGGAGAGCTCGCAGCCGTCGCGGTGCCGCCGGAGCCGCCGCTGCGCGTCGCCGTCGTACTTGACCACGAAGAGGTCGCGGAGCTCGAGCGTCGCGCCGCCGTCGCCGCCGAGGTAAAAGTCGCGGAGGTAGGGCAGCGCGCCGGCCGCGACGGCCTCGAGCGCGCGCCGCGTGGCGTTGTCCATGGACGACACGGCGATGTCCGTCGTCGGGTAGTTCGCGTGCCGGTCCGTGAGCCAGCCGCCGCGGCGCGCCGCGTGGTCCTCGCTCCGCGCGACGGCCCAGGCGGCGTCGGCCGCGGGCACTAGCGCGGCGACGCGGTGCACGTCGACGTAGTAGTTGTCCGGCGACGCGACCATGATGGGCAGCGGCGACAGGAACGCGAGGAGGCACGCGGTCACGGTCAGCAGCGCGGCGTCGAGGAGCGCGTCGTCGTCGTCCCAGCCCTTGACGCGCCGCCAGGCGCGGACGACGCGCAGGCCGCCGTAGGGCCAGGCGACGGCGGCGACGAGCGCGGTGCAGGCCCACTCGAAGCGCATGGTGTGCGATGCGTTTCCCAGCGTTGGCAACGCCGATCAGCCGGGTTTCGGACGCAGCGGCGTCACCATCGTGCTTTGAGACGCTGCCCCTTTGGCCTCAAGATCTCCTCAAGAATTCAAAAAAAAAAACTCCAGTCGAGTGGTGGTCTGGGGCTGCGCTTCGACGCGCACGTTCCCACGCCATGGCGGCGCAGGGCAACGTCACGTTCCTCGCCGTGGCTCGCACGAGCGACCGCGTGATCCTCGCGAGCTGCGAGCACGGGGCATCCATCGCGCGTCGCCCGGCGCCGTGGTTTCCCGCGACGCGCCGATGACCCGTGCCCGCGTCGTAGGACCTGAGCGGCGTCAAGTACCTGCTCCACCCGGACCAGATGCAGCAGGTCGACGTCGGCCCCCACTACAACTTCCAGAGCGGCAGCCAGGCCTGGCACCTCACGGCCGACGCCGCGGGTCTGATCTTCATAGGCATCACCGCGCAGACGTACCCCGTGCGCCACGCGAACGCGAGGCCGCCCGCGCGAGCACAAAGCCACGCCGACGGACCCCAGACGACGTAGGCGCTCCTCGAGGAGCTCAAGCGCACCTTCAGCGCCAAGTGCGGCGAGAAGGTCGCGGCGTCGCGCGAGTCGGAGCTCACGGCCGCGTGCAAGTCGCTCTTCAAGAAGCTCTGCGCCAAGTACGACGACCTCGCCCAGATCGACCAGCTCAACAAGACCATGGCCAAGGTCGAGGGCGTCAAGATGATCATGCAGGAGAACATCGAGATCGCGCTCCAGAACTGCGTGTCGCTCGAGCACATCGGGACAAGCAGGCCGAGGACCTCCAGGCCCAGGCGGGCATGTTCAAGACNGCGGGCCAAGGTGCTGCGGTCCAAGGTCTGGTGAAACTCTGCAAGATGCGCC